TAACGATAATGATTAATCAACAACGATTCAAAAAATCAGTTGATTAGATAATTATTAATCAACTAACGGTTCAAAAAATCAGTTGATTAATCGACTAGCAAGTTCAAGCAAACCTAGCATCACCCATAATAAAAAAAATATCGCTAACGCCTCTTATAAATATATATAATGTTAAATTAAGAGATCTAGTTTTTAAATTGTGATTTGTCCATTAAGAAACATGTAACACATATAAATACTATATAAAATGTAATGGACGATGCTCGGGCCGTCGAAGTTCAAGATGTTCAAATCTTCATGGTTTTGAAAAATTGTTACAATTATTGAATTATAAACAATTAGCTAGTTTTCATTATCTATTCTAACTAATTATTTTTGCTATAACCGTTGGCCATTGATGATCACAATTCGGGACTGATAATTATATATAGTCCTTAGTTACTCCAGTTTTAAATATTGCAATTCAATAATGTAAAAGATCAGTGGTATCGTTTTCATAATGTAAAACCTGAATCATTAATGTGACGATCTTACCAAATTAAAGTCATATTATTTTTTTTCATTCCACCATGTTAAAATTGTTAAATTGTATTAGCCAAGGAAACAAATTTTTAATACAAAGGGTTTTTTTTTCTTATATGCATATATATTTTTTTGATTGACCTTTTCATTGAATTTATTAAGGAATTCATATTTCATTGATTTTTTTTGGTGTTAGCGTTAGAGTTGAAAATCTTTAGATTTACGTTTGTCAATTAGGGTTATCATTAAACTTAATCCTATGTAATGAGTTCTAGTTCAGTCATATGTCCTTCAAAAGGTTGCCCGAATTTAGTTAAGAAGTAAAAAAAATCATATTTAATAAAATGCAGCGATAAATTTTTTTCTGTTTTTTTTTTTTACTCTCTCAGCAAATGTAAATAAATTTATGGCTTCAATATGGATTCGATTTCAAATATTAGTATAATTAATGAAACTGACAATGAAAAAATATGCGAGTTGCGTAAACTTTTTTTTTTTTACTCGAAGTATTCGAATTTATCAATAACTTAAAAGAATTAACACGAACTTTTCACTTTATAGGTGGACATATTCAATTAATAACTGCGAGAGAGCAACTTATCTAGGTATAATGATCTGCGGGACAGTCATAAACGGAATTTTAGGCTTGATTTTATTTTCATTATTATGTTGGAGGTTTATAATTAAGTTAAAATTAAAAAACTGGGATAAAATTTTCTTTACACCGAAATATAAGATGATGACTTTGGCGGTATTATGTTTTATAAGTAAGTAAAAAAAAAAAAAGTAAAGGAATAAATTTTATATAAATTATTATCATTATCAATAATATCGAATTCATTTCACGTTTTAGTGCGAGCTTTTAGTTGTTTAGTGTTGATATTTGACATGTTTTCTAGTCATACTTTTTTTCGAGAGTTAATATATGGAATTTCATGGACACCTGGATTCGCCTCTTTATATTGGTATCTACATGGTATCATTAGCGTGATTCCAAAGATATGTTTTGATAGTTATTCTGCAAACTCTGAAAACCATTTTAGAAAAATGTGGATTCCGCAAGAAGAACAAGTTCAAGTATTAACATGGATATTTACAATTCTCACCACATTATGTCTAACAATTCCGTCGGTATTTGCAGCTCATTACCATGCCAATTATAATAATAAATTGAATGATCTTCAAGAAGCCAGACGAGCGCAAATAATATTTTTTTGGTTATCTTGTTCGTTTGTTTGGATTTTAATTATGTATTATGGTAGAGCCGTAGTAACTTTAACGAAAGAGAGTCTAAGATTAACAGTTGTTGAGGATGAACAATGGATAAAAGTAGTAAAAGAAAAATTACGTAACAAAAAAAGGTTAAAAGCAAATCTCAAGAAGGTTTGTTTTTTTATAGTTACATTCATTTGCTTGGATTTTTCCAAAATTTCATTTTAAAATTTTGAAATTTTAGATGGAAGCTTACAATTGGGTGTGTGGAATTGTTTTTTTTTTCTGGTCGATTGCACTTATTCCTCCAATAATAAATTACGACATAATGAAGAAAGATATTGCCGCAAAGATTTACTCTTTCTTCTCCGTTGATGCAACACCCATTCTTTTTGGATTTTTGATATACACAATTATTAAGTATGTATCTGGTATAGTATATACCATCTTTTTTTAACAATGAGTGTTACCAAGTCAAAACCTGAGAGGAGCTTAGTGTTCTAATCGTTTTGATAGTATTTATAGTATTTATAGTATTTGTAATATTTTATGATTAGTATACCGATCGTATGAGACATTCAGTAAAATAGTAGCACTATACAGACTCTGACAATTTAAGTACGTACATAATACGTATGCATGAATAACTTATAAAATTTAATTTTTATAAGCAACTCTTTTCAATGGACAGGTTAGAATATTGTCGTGTTGTTCGTGTTAGGGTAATATAGAGTTATTTGAAAAATACTCCATTATCTGGCTGTGAAATTTGATGTGTCAGCTTCTGGGTCCCGAAGGGACCCAGAAATGACATAGTTATTGGCTGCATAGTATTCAATGTATTATCCAGGTAGTTACTACGACAGAATCAACAGAATGACTCGAGTTATTTTGATGCGCGTCATTATCAAATAACAAAGTTATTTGATGATATCATCAAAATAACTCGAGTTATTCTGTTGGTACTATCATAGTAACTGCCGGATAAAGATAAGTTATTGAGAAAATAACATTTATTTGGAGAATTTTTATTACAAACCGTATATTCTATCATAATTATCATAGTTTCCACACCGTACGCTTACTACTTTACTATATTACTCGAACGTATCGATATATACATACTCAATTATCAAATTTCAGAAGTAAGTTCAGTAGTATAATGTTAAATTTGTATCTACAGGTTTAATTTGGCAACACTCATTTATTATAATTATATAATAATCACCATAAAATAATATCATTAAATTTATTCTTTCCTTAAAATCGTAGAGAAAATTCAATAGACGATCCAAGTATGTAAATCATTAACAATGGATTCATAGACTTTATAAATTAATTACTTACAGTAATTATTGACTTGATTTATTAGCTAGCACGGACTGCGACGAACAACTTAACATATGGATTCAAAGCCTTCAAAGTGGAAACGAAAACACTGTGCTAATATTAAATAATAATAATTTAAAACATAACAGCATATATACAAGTAATTCATTTTGTTGTGGCTCAAATATTCATGAAATAAGTAGTTTAAATTCACGGTCAGGAACTGAGGAATACAGAGACATTAATATGGGTCATACTATAATTGGTTCTAATCAAGATAATTTAGCGGGAATTGATGAACAACAAGACACTAATACCAGCAATAGTATAATTGATTCTAATCAAGATTACTTAGCAGGAGCTGATGAACAACAAGGCACTAATACCAGTAATAATATAATTGATTCTAATCAAGATAACTTAGCAGGAGGTGATGAACAACAAGACACTAATACCAGTAATAATATACTTGATTCTAATCAAGATAGCTTAGCAGGAACTGATGAACAACAAGACACTAATACCAGTAATAATATAATTAATTCTAATCAGGAAAACTTAGCAGAAACTGATAAACAACAAGACACTAATACCAGTAATCATATAATTGATTCTAATCAAAATAATTTAGAAGGAACTGATAATTATCAAGACATTAATACTATAAACAATGTAATTAATTCTAGTCAAGATAATTCAGAAGGAACTAATAAACATCAAGATACTAA